CCCCAAATCATTTCTATTGTTACAACTCTCACTAAGGGAAAATGTTTGTGAATCCTTTTCCCAAATGCTTGAGTGGAAAATGACGTTTTTACCTTCATGGTATTTGCAAGAATTAGCACTGGTGCTTGTCTAAAAACAAGGTTTTTCATTGTCCCGGGGAGTTGGAATGGCTTAAATTCTCTTAGATGATAAAGTAGAAATGTCTAGTTTGGAAAATTAGGGAAAATGTCATTTTTTTATATGGTAGCTTGTCTACGTAAAGATCTAAGTCCTCTAACTAGCCACTTTTATATAGTTCGACATGCTTGGGGAATATTTGTATTTAGTTCTATATTAACCAAAATTTTATGTGACCTGGAGTTGGAATTTCACCCTAACTAGGATGAACGATCACGTTATTAGAAATTAGTATTTTGGTGATGTGGGCCAAAGTTGACATGTCAAATCACCACTATTACACATAAAATTTTGGGGTTTCAAAAGTACAAGCTCAGTGAAAAAAGTGCACCGGATTCTCAAATGCTTTTGGAGAAAAATTTCAAGTTACTTGGGTACAAATGGATTTATATTATCTTAGAAAAAAAATATTTGAATACAAAAGGTAAATTAAAGAGTAGTTTTTTTATTTTTATTTTTTTTGTGTGAAAAAATGAAATATTTTTGAGTTTGTGAATGCATATGAGAAATAGCAATGACTAAAGTTGATATGATAGAAAAATGGTAAAATAACAAATATAAATAATTGGTTGTTAGAAATATGTGAGTGGATAAACTCTGTTGAAAAAGGTGTAGTAATGATTGATTTTTATTATTTAATTCCGTTGATATGATTGTGGTGAAAAAGTGATATTAGATGAATAATGATTCTTGAATAAATTTTGTACCCAATCGTAGTCCGATGAAAAAAAAAAAAAAAAATTCCGATGAGCAAAACTGGAAATAATTTTTATTGTTTTTGTCTTGCCACCTCACTCGGTTACAACGTTAGACAAATTTCGGGGTTCCCCATCTCATTGGCTCTTTTTGTACGCCTCAGGTGAACAATGAAGCAGCATTGCTTGGTTTTGTTGGAGCTCCTTTTACCCTGGCTTCTTATGTGGTTGAAGGAGGTTCCTCAAAGCACTTTTCGAAAATAAAGAGACTAGCATTCTCAGAGCCCAAGGTAACTTACAGAATTGAGTTTCAGTTGGTACTTATGTGAAATAGATCATACCGTGTTGGGTGTTATTCTTCATTGAGTAAGTCAGTTTGTTGAAGTGCTTTCAATATCAACCCACATGATCTTCAGCATTTTGGTTACTTGTCTTTTTCAAGAATCTACCGGAGTGGTGCCTTGTTGGTTTACAAAGAATTAATCACTTTGATAAATACTTGCTACCATTTGTTTAGTAACCACTTTTTGCTTACATAATCATAATCTACTTCTCCTAAAAGCAGAGATTACCACAAACACCTTATTTCGTACATAGCAGGAAACACCACGAACAGCTGGACTTTTTTTTTTGGTTTTATTAACAAAACCTATTTTTCTCCGCTTAATGATTTTGCTTTAAATCGCCATTTCAGGTTCTTCACGCCCTACTCCAAAAATTTGCGACCTCCATGGCCCGATACATACAGTACCAGGCTGACAAGGGAGCCCAGGCTGTCCAGATCTTCGACTCATGGGCCACGGAGCTGAGCCCGGTGGATTTCGAGGAGTTCAGCCTTCCCTATTTGAAACAAATTGTTGACACAGTGAAGCAGACCCACCCTGGTCTCCCACTCATACTGTATGCGAGCGGATCCGGAGGACTGATTGAGAGGCTTCCCCTGACGGGTGTTGACGTGGTCAGCCTGGACTGGACAGTGGACATGGCCGAGGGCCGCAAGAGGCTTGGCCCAGATGTGGCCGTGCAAGGGAATGTGGACCCAGGCGTCCTCTTTGGGTCCAAGGAGTTCATTACCGAGAGGATTAAGGATACTGTGAGGAAAGCAGGTAAAGGTAGACATATCTTGAATCTCGGCCATGGGATTGTCGTAGGCACACCCGAAGAGAATGTTGCCCATTTTTTTGAGGTTGCGAAAGAGCTTAGGTACTAGATTAATATTTTGAGGGTTTTTTTGAGGGCTGTAGATTTTGATTGTTTTCCTTTTATCCTTTTCTCATTTAATACTGTTGTAATGTATTTGTGCTTGCTTTGTTTATGAAATTAATGTTAATTGACATGGAATCCAATAGCATAATGATGAGGGGGAAATGACATTTAGCAACATGAATGCTATGTAAAGGACAAGATCTATTAAACCGAATTATACAAACTCGTTTGCATTCCCTTTAATTTGATGCTTGAAATAGTTGTTTCCACTCGTTTTGTATTTTATAATAAATTTTACACCTACGTATGACAGACATTAAAATATATCATATTATTTACTTGAATATTATGCTAAATGCAAATTTAATTTTTATCTCACTTTGGATTAAATTTGTAAATGTAAATCATAGTTAAAACTAAGAATAAACCAAGTAAACCGGTTGACCGTACCAAAGAGTCGACTGATCGACCAGGACAACAAGAAGGTCGGCGGTGGTCGAACATGGCCAACGTAGGACCAGGAGTTTTCATGTAGAGGACAACACCAGAGGTGCAGAAAGGCAACAACAGGTCGATCTAGGGCCCTTGTGGGCATGGTTCGTCGTACGATCGACAGAAAGGGCAACACTTGGTCTCAGAACAAGTAATTGTAACGCCCCACTTTTATTTGTCAAAATTCAGGATAAAGTTTTTCAAATTTATTTTCCAAAACACTTGAGTCACTACTCATTTTCAAAACCAATATCAAAATTCGAACAGTCATCAATACTCCATTCTCAATACTCATTTATCAATAACCAATATTCCAACAATAATCCAGTTCAATAATCGACAACCAATCCAATAATCAAATAAAGCAATAATATTAATAATCCAGTTTCAAGCGGAAGCAATAACATTTATTTTGACCATCACTCGCTTCCCTCCGACGTGCCCGCAATACTAACCTGCATCCATGAAGAACAGGTGGGGGTGAGCACAAAAGGATACGATAGTGTAAGCCCCGACCCAAAATTATATTAGTAGCTCGACTTTATTTATCAAAATTAGTAATATTTTTGATTATGCCAAGAATTATTAATATTAATTGCATAATTTATTTAATTTCAAGTCTAAGCCATAAAGAGAGCGTCCAATTAATTAAATTACCGAGCCCAACATTTTATTGGGTCCATTTAACGGCATTTAATTTCTTAAGCTCGAGTTGAATTTATTTTAATTAGTCGGCCCATTTTAATTCGAGTAGTTGAATTAATTTCTAAGCCCAAGCGATATTTTAAATATCGAACCCTCGTAGTATTTTTATTTCAAGCCCAGTTATTTAATTCCGAGCCCAATATTATTTTTCGGTCTAAGTCGAGATTATTATTTCAAGCCCGTCATATTTATTTGACCGAGCATTTCAAATTTCTCAGTCGAGTCGACTAATTATCCTACGCCTAAACCGATATATAATCGAGTCCAATATCTTAGCCCGAATATATAGAGATTTTTAAGGCCCGGTTATTGAGCCCAACAAGAAGAGTCAAACCCTAGCACATGCTCCATCTATAAATAGAACCCCTTAGCTCATTTCC